ATATATATATATATATATATATATATATACACACACACACACACGCACACACACACATACGAGGTTCTAGTTAAATAGTCTCCAACTCCTTTAGTTTCTAGTGAAATCATGACCTGGAACCGCTTGATGTTTACTTGTGCTGAGAATGACTAGTTATACAGAATCTATGGTGTGTAATTGCCCTTGAGGGGTTGTTTGGTTCATTGAAATTGTAATTGCAACAAATGTTGCTTGCAGAAAATGTTGCATGCTGAATTTGTTGCAGGAAATAAACATCAATTTTTTTTGTTTGGATATCTATATTTTAATTGTGGCATATGTACTACCAAATTCAAATCTAATGTTTGGTTAGGTGCAAGAGTTGTTATTTTTGCTTTTTTCTTTGTAGTAGTAGTAGTAGGAAATGCTTATTCATTGTAACCAAGTGTTTGTTTCTCTAAATATGTGAAAATATATACATTTTTTGAGTTAGAATTCACTAGTTAGCTGATGTGGCGGTAGTTTTTTAAGTTTTTCTAGTTAATGCAAACTTACAACATTTGTTGCGGTCAAATTGGTTGCAACAAAGAACACCTAGAAAAAAAAATTAATCCATTTATCATAACCAACTACCTTGTTGTAAACCAAACATTGTAAATAGAAATTTTGTTTCTACATTATAATTGTAATTCTATTTCATGTGAACCAAACAGTCCCTATAGTTTGCTGCTTCTATTGACTTAAGACCGTAAAAGCATAAATCAAAATTACCATATGCAAAGCGATGTTATATTTTTCTGATTATCTATAATTTATAGAGCATGTTTGGCAATCTACTTATAAGTTACTTACTTTACTTAATAAGGATATTTTTACTTTTAAGTGTCAAATTACACATCTGGTCAGTGTTTATTTATTTACTTATTTTTCGGCTTATGTGTGTGAAAAAAAAAGTTATGATTTTCAAACTTATTGTAATGTTAGCTATAAGGTGTTTTACTTCGATGTTAAAAAGGCTATATTTATCTTATATATTACATGAATCCCTCCTTTTGTAATGTTTGCAGGAGCTAGGAGAGGTTTCCTCTAATCAAAGGGGGTAAAGTTGATGAATGTTAAATCTTGTCACATGGTCAAATGCTTCTTGGCCAGAATTACCAAGGTTCTTCTTTCATATTTATCCAGCAAAGTAACGATGCTATAGGAATCCCTTCTTCAATTTATGTATGTTTGTATTTGGACGTCAGATTATTGTTCAAGTTCGATTCTATCAAACTTCGAGGCCGCTATAAATGTATATTGGAGAGGCACATGAAACATAAGCAGGAAGAGGAAAGAATACTACCAAGGCTTTCCGATTGAACTGGCGTTAGGATTGCTTGTAAATATGGGAATGGTGGTCTCATGTAAACTAGACATTGCCCCTAGCAAGGGAATTTCATCGATTAATAATAAAAATAATAAATAAATGAATCAAATTTATCTATTACCATAGTTTTGATGCTTAAGATGCAATGTCTCTGGCGGTACTGTGAAGGAGCATACGATTCTGTAACAGGTATTAGCTATCTTGCGTCTGTTGGCGGAGACTGAGATGGGTGATGAGTGGTGCCGTCGTGACTTCTGTTTGTCAAGTCCTTGTTTCCGTGGATGAAGACGATGACTGCAACAAATACTGCCATGGATGATCTTAAC